TCACCATCCAAGTTGACATCTTTGGCTTGCAGGAAGGGAGGGTGGAATGGAAGTGGTTATTGTTTAGCAGGAGAGTCCCCTTCCATAAGAACATCAGGAATCTGGCTCGCTGGTTCTTTTCTGTCCTTCAGGTTGTCTGTAGTCCACTAGGACCTCCTTCTGGCTCACTAGGTCTCAACCTTTTCAGAGCTAAAAACTGGTCTAAAGTTGTCTGTTTCTGTCTTTAACACTGTTCTGTAGTATGGCATGACATTGTCATTAAGCAAGTGAATGTAACAATTGGCTTTTTTTCTGTCTGGGTGATATTCTCTACAAATGTTTGTAGGTACCTCTGTCCATTTTTTTTAGGATTTCCTTCATTTCAGAAGAGGAACTTTGCTGCACTGACTGTTGAGGCTCCCCCTCCTCTTCGGAAAGCTCTTGCACTCTCTGTTGCTTAGCCAGAAGTTGCTGAAGTTCCTCTGTAGGGAGTTCCTGTGAGTGTTCGTTCAGCAGTTCCTCACCACCACCACTGTCTACCTGCAAGCCTATGGACTCTGCTGCTGTGATAGTGTCACCAATTGCAGGGTCAGTTGAAGGTTCAGGCTCCTCTGCATAGCCTTCAAAGTCTCTTTCCTGTATAACTTTAGGCCACACTTGCTTCCAGGTAGATCTCAGTGTCCTTAGAGAGACATTGGCTTAGAATTTCTCAGTTAACCTCACACAGGAAAGGATTTTGTAATGCTCCTTCCAGAACTCTGAAAGAGTTAACTCTGTATCTGAGACCATCTGGAAGCACTTCAGGAACAGTTCCTTGGTATATAGCATCTTAAGGTTAGCTATAGCCAGCTGCTCCATAGGCTACATTGGAGGAGTTGTATTAGGTGGGAGGAATTCATCTGAGAGCCATGGACTCTTCAGCCAGTTCAAATCTCATGGGTGAGCAGGAACATTGTCCATGATGAGGAGAGCCTTGAGTGTAAACCTTTGTTTTCTAGATATTTCCTAAGAGTAGGACAGAAAGCCGCCTGATCCAGGAAGAAATAGTACTCTTGTTACCCAGGCTTTTGTGTTAGATCTCCACATAACCCCCTAGCCTATTATTCCATGACTTTATATTTTCTGAACATTCTAGGGGTCTCAGAGTGATATACCAAGAGAGGCTGTATCTTGAGGTTGGCACTTACATTGCCACATAGCAATAAGGTTAGACTATCCTTCATAGGCTTGTGGCCTGGCATTTTTTTTTTCCCTGGGAAATGTATATTCTCCTGGGCATTTTCTTCCAGGAAAGGCAAGTTTCCACACAGTTGTAAACTTGATGAGAGCAACAGCCATTTCTCTGTGTCATCCTTTGATGTAGTGTATGTAATTTTCAGCAGCCCGTTTATCAGCACTGGCTGCTTTACCATGTGTAGTTACCCTGTGAACCCCAGTTCTCACTTTAAAATTGGAAATCACTCCTTACTGGCACAAAATGTTTCACCATTATCACTTCTCGATGGATTATCCTTTATGAGATCTGCATTTATAACCCAAACTTTTTCACAAACTATGGACTCAGGCTATAACCTGCCTTCTGCCTTTCATTTATGCACACTAGTAATAGGCTTACTATCTCGTCTAACACTGTTGATTGTGACCTACTAATTTGAGTAACACCTTTAGCAACACTAGCTTCCTTATACAGATCTTTTCTCTGTAAGATTGTTGAGTTGGTGGATTTTGACATGTTGTACATATTAGTGAGACTGGTCACATGAATGCCATTCTCATATTTCTCCACAATTTTCTTCTTTTTTTGATTGTGATTGCTTTCTTTACCTTCCCTTCCTTCCTTAGCTTCTTTCCTAGCTTTTTGGGGGTCCATTTTGATAGCATTAACTGTAGTGACTGTGTAAAGCACAGACTGAAATCATGATCTTGTATCCTTGTATTAGTTTTATTGATTGTATTAGTAAGAATATTTGTGTATTCTAATCCTGATGTTTTTCATGAATTATGTCCTAAAGTACAGGGCAGAAGTGTAGAGCCATTCTATAGCATGAAAGTTAGAGTTTCCAGAGAATAGATACTTTTTAAAATGTTTTTAAAGGATGCAGTAGAGAAACTTAATTTCTAAAATTACTTTCACAAGAATTGGTATTCACTATTTTAACCAGGCTTCTAAACCTTACATTGAAAATACTAGGACAAACCAACCTTCTTCTAATAGCATGCACTGAAAAAGGACACAACATCTCTTTCATGTCAAAATTTAATAAATGTTATTAAGAAATGTCAGATATCTAAATTAGGAGACATTCAGTATATGGCTATACACTTCAAAACCATCAAGTGAAGACACAGAAAGCCTGTTCCAGATTAAAGGAGGTAGAGCTGATACAAGAACTAAAGGCTTCTGCATTGGATTCTGAATCAAGAAAAAATAGTTATAGGTGGCATTATTGTAACTATTTATAAAACCTATTTATTTTTCATTGATAATATTAATATAACATTTATTGATTTGATAATTCTTCTATGGTTATGAACATGTCCTATTCTAAAGAAATATACACAGAAGTTTTTGGGATAAAGAAGCAAAATGTTTCTTACAAATGATTGGAAAAAGAACATGCAGGTCTCTCTCTTTCCAAATCTACTTACATATAGATGTAGGTGTAGATATAAAATTGTCCCGGCCCGCGGGTACAGTCAACGAGGACCCTAGAAGGGGAGTGGGGATGATAAAGGGACAAGAGACACGAAGAATAGAGACAAGACAGGATTCTGATCAAGTCTCGTTTATTAGCAGGAAGTGCCATGCTTATATAGGGCACGGAGAAATGCAGAAGTTCTTAAGGCGGGAGTAACCAAGTAACCTGACAAAGGCGGGAGTAGCTAGGCAATGGTGGGCAGTCCTAGTTCTAGAGGCGGGACTAGCTAGGCAACGTTAGGCAGTCCTGACTTAAAGGGAAAGGCGCGTCTAACAGAGACTTAACTCAGACAACAGAAACTTAATGCTTCAGACGGCTACTAATATACAATGGAGGTCAGTCACGGTCTCCTACATAAAATGACAAAGCAGATGGGAAAAAGTGTATACAACTGGTAAATATCTGGGTAAAAGTTATACATATGGGATTTCACTGTGCTACTCTTGGAGTTTTTCTTTAAGTTTGATGTACCAAGCAGCAGAGTCCAGAGGCCACCATGAATAAAAGTTTGGGAAAACCTTACAACTCAAATTGGAGGCTGAGATCACTTCCTTCCTATTTCAAATGTTATATTGTTTCTACTATTTACTATTTCTACTTTACTTTCTCTTGTATACTGGATTCATCTGCTTTGTTTTGGCTGCTGTGCCTTTGACTTGACATTTCTTCACAAAGCATCTAACATTCTGTCTTAGTTCACATGAGGGAGGGAAGGAGAGAGAGGGAGGGAAGGACGGAGAGAGAGGTGTGCAAAGTGCAGGTGGTGGGATGGATTATGACAGTCATGTAGTACTTAGAGCTGACCTCAGAAGCTAAGGGTGTGGCAGGTTCTCTAGTCTGGAAGGTAGTATTGGGAGATCTATTCATGACTGATGTCCTCTGGACCTGGAAGCTGTGTTATATTGTTTTTTGAGGTTAATTTCTTGTTAATGGATCCCAAAATGCTTCTATTGAAAAATCTTCCTAGAGTTAGATCACTCAGTTCTATTTCTGCCAAGATGAGCAAGAGGCCTCATTTGGTTAAAGGAAAGAGGCGAGAAATATTCAGAACTTTTCCTTGTAGGTAGTAACAGAATGTCTCCTCCTTTACCACTGGTAATGAGAATGGTTATGTCTCTGTTGTGTACCTTTCATTTTTAAAGTTTTAGTACTTAATTTTGATATGTTCATTTGATTATTCATGTTTACTTGCAGTTTATATTCTTTCTTGTATTTGAAAAGTAAGTGAAAATATAAAATGCCTTTCAAAAATTTTTAAGAAAATATTTTGAAAGTATATTTCTAACATTTTTAAAGAACTTTTTTTCTGAATGTTGTAGACTAATAATTTCTGTATACCTTCTTTTATTCCCTCATTCTACTGTGAATATGGTCACTTAAATTATTTCATTGAATATAATTTTTATAGTCCATTGAGGTAAGCATAGGTTTTCCAGAAAAAAAAAAAAAATAGATTGTCAAAGCAGTGACTTGGCCAAGGTTGCTACAGTTAATATGTGGTGCAGTTAGAGTTAGAAATGAGGTCTGTCAGATTCCATTGTGTATGTTCTTTTAAATCATCAAGAATTAAGTGTCCAGCTACACTTACACATGAGATAATTAATTCTGTGTTGCACTTCCTCAAATGTTGCCACTTTTTTTTTTTTTTTTAAATTCTAGAATGCACTTGTTCTCTATAAGCATTGATTTTTCTTGCTTTGCTGAGAACACTGTTGCATGTAATGTTGGTTTTGGGAGGATAGGAACTGTTAAGTAGAGTTTGAAAGTAGATAAAACCACTGCCTCGACTGAGTGGAGATCTAGGATTTCATGCGAGAACTGGAAAACTGAGGAGAGAGATGTGCGTTACAAATAATTTACCATTTTATAGGTAATTAAATTGTCACGTTCCAATATGTAGGTGAAGCTAGGGAGTATTTTGGATGAATATATAGATGTGAGCAAAGGAAAAAAGATCAGAAGAAATCTATAAAAATGAAAATTAAGGCTGGAATACTGGATTTAAATATGAAAGCAGAATATTGCTAGAAATTGACTTTTCTGAGGAGTGGAGGGAAGTAGGGGATTACTGATGAATCTGTACTTAGTGTGTTGTGAGCTGTGCCTGCTACCTGAAATTTATCTTAAAGAATTAGTTTGGAAGTTGTTGAAGGAGCGTAATCAACATAGCAGTATGTGTAATGTGATTGCTAGAACCTGTGGCTACAAAGTAAGAGAAGAACATGATATTTTCTTTTACACAGGGCTTTATTTTAATTTAATGATATATGTTTGCCAACAGAAGCAGTAAATTAATAATGTATTAAACTATTTTCTTTGAAGTTCAACATGAAAATAAAAATGATGGAAGCAAAATTTCATGAAGAAAAACTTCAGCTACAGCAGAAACACGATGCAGATGTTCAGAAGGTAAGATTTATATCATTAATTTCTTTTATTTTCATTGAATTTAAAATATTCTAGGGATTTTGATAGTCCATCAGTTTGTTCATCCATCCACCTACCCATTTGTTTATTAAAGGGTATATGTGGGATTTACTGAAATAACACTGAACAAACATTGATCTGTTAGCTTCATTTTCTAAAGAATTTATTTCAAACCTTATATTATCCTTTTGTTCTTCTTCAAAATATTTTAAGGCTGGACTGAAAGTTTTAAAATCTTCATTCTATCACTAACTTTTATTAAAGTTGAAATCAGATATCAACTGTGAACACTAGAGTTTATTTTTGTCCTAATATAGCAGAAAATGGCCCCCTTGTTGCCCAGGTAATCTCCAGTTTACTTTAGTTCCTGTTACTGCAGTCATGTTACTACATGTTACTACAGTTTACTTTAGTTCCTGTTACTACGGTCTCCTGGAAATGGCTGGTCACTATGATGCATATTGTAAGAACCAATTAAAGACAGCCACGTCTTCTACTTCTGTACTTCCCGCTGACAGATCCTATAAAAGTGCTAGCGCATCACTGTTCAGGGCCTGTTATATTGAGAACGTTCCCAGTTGTACCCATCCACATTAAACAAGTCTGCCTCCAAATCCTGGGTGATGATTTGGTGTTTCCGTTTGCTGCTGCACTCATGCTGTTTCAGTTTTTTGATAATTATAGTTTTCCTTTTAATTTCAAAAGGAGCATTTGGACTTAGTTCTGTTTAGTATAGTTTGCATGCCAGTAATGACAATGAGGGCTGCTTTTTTTGAGTAGCTCAATGGGATTGGACTTTTCAATGTTTCAGTCTTTCTTTTTAAATAAAAAATCAATTTCTGGTTATTCTGCATGGAATTTGAGCTGATACTATAATTTTATAATGACCAAAAGTTTAGTGACAGTAATGTTTGTATGCTTTAAATGTGTAAGGTTGATCCAAATAGAAAGTTCGAGTGTAGTGTTTTAAAACTAAGATTTTGCTTCCACAAAACTAAGACAAAGATGGTAGTTTAGGCTGTAGCAGTAGATATCCGAGCTTACTAAAAGTGAAACATATATTGATGTTTGCCAGGTGCATGTTTGACTCATCATGACCTTGAACTTCAGAATTACAGCAAGAAGGAAGCCACTGATTGTATATTAGAAAGAGAAAAAAATACTGAATTATTTTCCTTTTCGTCACCCCCATTCAAATGTTAAAGGCAAATGTTACTTTTTGTTACTAGAATTTTACATTAGTTTGAGTTGTTTAAGTAGAGTAGTTCTCTATCATAAATATTTGGTGATATAATTTTAATATACTATATCCAAATGAAATAGAATCTATCACTTTATAAGATACATGAATATAAAAAATAGGTTTGGAAAGATCATGGTAGTAGAGTACAAAATAGGCTTCTTAAATATGTTTTACAAAGATCTGTTCTATAATAAACATTTACTTGTATAATCCTTTCTAGGAATTGAGGGGGAATAAAATTCAGACTGTTTCATTTACATATATTTGCATCTTTTTTTTTTTTTTGTTTTTTTTTTTTTTTTGCTTCTTTCTGGATACTACAGTCAAACTTGTTCCTTGTATTTGCTCCTTGTATTTATTAGTCTTGGAGACTAAAATAAGCCAGGTAAACTAAAATGTTGGTAATAAAATCACTCTTAAAAAGTTGATGAGACATTGGCAGATGACTTTGTTACTTGATTTTGGGTGTGTAAGATATATAGCTCAGCCACATAGAAAAATATATTCCTCCTTACAATCTCAATTTGGTTTTCTGTTTACCTCTAGTTAACATTTTCTCCTGCTTGCTAACTTTCCTACATTTTGGTTGTTTCTGTAGTTTTTTAGTGTTGATATATTTTGAACCCTAAAATCATGATCAGATTTATTAAATGACTGTTTAAAGCTTCTGATACAATGTAAATCAGTGATGTAAAATTGTAATGCAGAGTTTTACATATTTCCAGCTCCTTTTCTGGTTCATTATAGCAGATAGTAAAAAAGCCTATTATATGTCATCTTCCCATGTGTCTGGGTATAGTTGTCATTGTGCATTAAAATGGTAGAAGGGCATCTGGGGAGAACTCAGGGGGATGGTGTGTGGAAAGATGCTATATTTCAGTGCAACAGAGTGAATTGTACCACCCCAACATGTCAGATTTCTCTCTGCCACTTTATGACAGTCTAATTTCTGAATTATATTTTAGGGAATCACCTAATTTATTATTTATGTCTCCTTAAAAATTAATATGTGGCAGTCGCAAACAGATCACATAATTTTTCAGATAATCAAGTATTCTGGTATATTTTCAATGCACTATAATTTTTTGGGGAACACATTTATGATAGATAAACCTACAAAAATATTACACTCATTTTAAAATTGTGTTCTGTAATTAATGTACTAAATTATGCTAAAAGTTTATGTTTACTTGCAGATTTTAGAAAGAAAAAATAATGAAATAGAAGAGCTGAAAACTTTATACAAGAAGAAACAAAATGAAACTGAGGAGACTGTAAGAAAGCTTGAACAGAAAGGTGAGGTGTTACATAAACCTTTCAATAACATCTTCGTCTTAGTGATTGTAACATTTGCTTGCTGACTTTATGGGCCTCCATCAGCAGGTGAATTTGTATTGTATCATTTTTTTAGAGAGATCTTTTAAAAGATTTTTTAGAGTGATAAAATTGAATTAACTGGAGAGAAGCATTCTCTATCCTATGACAGAAATGCTGAAGTTGCTAAGTTGGGTGGATGCTGTAAACCTATATAGCTAGAGCGGATAACCTATGTATTAAGGGCTAAGCTTAAAAAGATTAAGATAGTTGGCTTGGGGCAAGATCAACTATGACCTTGAATTTCAGATTTGTAAGTTGGAGCTTTATCATTTAGATGTTGATGAGCCAGAAAAAACCTTTTGAGGTGTGAGTTTTAAGACCTCATGTTTGAGGGGAAGCCTGGTGGTAATGGTGGGTGTGTGGAATGTGGAGACGGAATGGAGAGAGAAAGGAAGGGAAGGAGAAGAGACAGAGGGAGAGTGAAGCAAAGAGGGAGAGCAGGAGGGGAGACAGAGAGGAGAGAGAGGGAGAGAGAAAGAGAGAGAGAGAGAGAGGAGAGAGAGCGAGGGAGAGAGAGAAAGAGAGATTGATTGATTCCTGATTTTGTTCTAATTTCTTCCTTTTTCTCCCAACTCAATCTTGACAAGAGTTGCTGACACTAAAACTGCCTGACCTGAGCTTCCTATATGACCTTAGGAGGTCTCTGGGTCGTGGTTTACTCATTATAAAATAATACCAGAGTAAGCATGTGAAGTCCTTTCCACCTCAAAGATACTATGTTACTGTACTTCATAATTTTCACCTAAAGCGATAGGGACCCGGAGGAGCTAAGTGACAGCAGCGGTGGTAGGAAGAATGGAACTGAAGAAGGAAGTTTGAAGAGTAAATCATCGTTCAGTGAAGAGTGAGACATAGGTAGTGAGCGAGACTGGTGAGCTGAGGTTTCCCTTCAGGAGTCTGCAGAGCTTGCCGACTCTTCCCCAGGTCACCACTCCTACGTGTGTCTGAGTGAACGGTAGTGCCCTGGACAGCTTAGGTTGGCAGTTGTACATCTGAATTCACCAATGAAATAGGTACTGTCAGGTTAATTTCCAGCCTTAAATGTTGGTGAAAGTAATTAGAGATTTGAGGTTCTTTCTCCAAATGTTATCTGTAACTACAAACATAATTTCCCAGCTTTCTTTCTTAACCTGATTCAAATCAGGCAATTCAAACATGCCTAAGATTTAAAAATCCTTCAATTTCAAAAATAGTATTCTTTTGGCCTCTTGAATTATAGCCAGATCTTAATTTGGTGTAGAATGTGAAGTAAAATGCATTGTATATGCAAAAGACCAACATTATGATAACTTGGATTCTTTTCCTCCTGTTATTTGTTGCATGTTTGAGATATGAGTGAAAAAATTTCTAGGGAAATGTTACTGAAAATTCTGCTTTCTTAAATGAATAAAGATTTATTCAATAAGGTAAGAAAATGTTACACTGAAATAAAAATGCAGCTGAATTTATTTTATTATCCAGATGACCTGAATGGATTAAACCAATTTTTATTTAAGTCAGTACAGTTTGAATAATTTTAGGAACAAAAATAGAAAATATTTATATGGGAAATATGTTTTTAATTTTTATTTGTGTCTATTTTTCCAGTGCTGGAGAGTGGATCTAGGGCCTGGAATAGTCTAGGCAAGAAGAAGTATTTTATATAATTTGAAACATTTTCACTTCTGTAACATAAACCTTGAAAATAGTTTTAAAGTAGAAACAACCATATATTGAAATGAGAGATACTTTTATTTATTCATTCAGTAAACATCTTTTTGAGAACTTACCTATGTGGCACTGTTATGCCCTGTGGATAACATTTTGATTTGAATATCTTACTTCTCAATGAAAATAGGAAATAGGCAAGTAAAATGTTATAATACTGTAAATGACTCAGGGTAAAATGTGTTTGGTTTCCATAGAAATACAGAGGAGTTTCTTTATGTCTCTGCAAGAGGAGGAACCAGGCTAGTGGTTCATAAGAAGGGTGATCTTTGAATTGAAACTCGAAGGATGGCTGGGAGTTTTTCAACAAAGGCGGGAGGTCATAGGTGACCATATTTAGCAGTGACATGTAAAAGAGCATATCCTCAGGAGTCTGCAGATAGGTTGGTGTGTTTACATTGCAGGTTTAAAATGTAGCAGTGGCAGGAGATATGGCCAGGTTCTACTACAGCTGTCTCAGAAATGGAGAAAAAGGGCAAAGAATAAAATAAAAGATAGTTTAGGAGAGTGAACTGAGAAGACTTGGTGAAAAATTGAATTATCTATTAATCTGTATACTCTTTTATATCATGATGCTCTTACGTGTTTTGTAGAGTTGGTTTAAATGTTTTCATCATTTTTGACAGTTCAGACCCTTGTACGTGACTGTCAAGTGATCAGAGAGGCTAAAGAAAACCAGATTGCAGAGCTAAAAAAGATATGTGAACAAAGTACAGAATCTCTGAATAATGATTGGGAAAAAAAGGTAAGTTACCTAGTGTAGTAATAAAAATATTAAAACATGGGCTTCACATTAATGTATTTAACTATAACAATGGACTTTATGGAATATACAGAAAAATAGGAAGAAAGAAAATAAACATAATTAAAAATTCCAGAAGAACTGCAAATAGGTACCATTTATGTTTAGGTACACTTTCTTCAAGAAGTCTGGTTTACAAAACAGTTTTAATCTAGATAACATATGCTTGACTTTATTCTTGTATTGAATGTTCTTGATTTTCTGCTGTAGTCAATAAATTTTAAGCAAAATTGGTAGGGAAATAGTAGTTTTAGTTATGGACTTAGACCATTTCTTTCCTGAACTCTTAGACAGCATAATATAATCCAGACTAGATTTCATCATACAAGCTTGTATGTTATGTGTACAAAATCAGTAGTAGATGGACCATACTTTCATGGATATGGGAAACTGCTGCTTGGGCCTGTTAAGGCATTCACTTTTCAATATAAGACATAATACTGATTTACAATGTATATTGCAGAAAAATACAAACGAAACATATTAAGTATTTTGGAGACCACTTACAGATAGTCAAAACTGCATATGTTAAATTTGTGAAACCCGTGGATCTTCTGTGTGGCTACTGCTGAGCCTTCCTCCTCCTGATTAGCTAGAAACTAGAGTAGAAGTTCGTGAGACTCTCACCAGTACTACTGTCATAATTATTGTTCACATTCCAGCATTGGTTCCTGTCATTTCTCAGTCTTCTCTGTTTCCCCAGTGTCTTCCGAGACTGACCATGTCATGTCTTTTTCCCTCTTACCCATCCATGGATAGTGAGTCTAATACGTCAGACAGACTCTTTTGGATGTCTGTTCTGTCCACCTAGTCAGTGGTGTTGCATTAAGCAAATAGGAGTTAGAGTTCCATTCCCATTAAGGTGAATGAAGGAATACCCGCAAGGCTGGGAGATTTTCCAGCCCCTCCCAGAAGCTGTCCGTTGAACCATGTCTGGACCTCCTGTATTTGCCTATTTTCTTTAGCTTAGTTGACACAAGTACTTTAAAGCTTCATCCTTCATACAGGGTGTATGTAATAACCTTTGCCAATAACATATCTGTGTGATATATGCAATATACAGTTGTTCTTAGTTATCCCACTCATTCTCTGATTTGTGAATATCATCTTTGTATCACTGTATATATAATGGAGTGGGTAAAAGTAGTTTCATGTTGGAGGCTTGGGTATGAAAGAAGCAAGCATTTTTAACAGTGTTGCACAAAAGAAATATTATGCAAATAAGATGAGTAGTACAGATAGTGAAATAACATTCCTAATCATAGTATTATAAATGTTCATATTTTTCTGATTTTAGACTAGTATTAATGTTTAATTGAGGTATTAATTATCTATCTGACTTATTTACCATTTTTAACAGAGGCAAACAGTTCCTGTTAGTATTAACATTTCAATTCAGGAAAGCAAAGAAAACATTTAGTTTTTAAAAATGAATATTGGAACTTCTAGGGATAGAACCCAGAGGCTGAGCTGTATCTCCAGCCCTTAAATTCTTTTTTAAATTTTTGATACAGGTTCTCACTAAGTCACTGAGTTGCTCAAGCTAAATTCAACCATGCAATTTTCCTGTCTCAGCCTCTCAGAATGCTGGGATTGCAGGAGATCATCAGCACACTCAGCAGCCAACTGCTTACTTCTGGATTTTATAATTTTTGTTGCTCAGGTTTTATATTATCTATATCTATATCTATATATCTGTATCTGTATCTATCTATCTTCTATCCATCTATCTTTCTATCTCTCTATATGTGAAAATACCTTTTCTGAATTCCAAGTCTTTTCATGGTAGTGAAAGTGTCTTTATTTCATTGTGTAGCTCCACAGTGCTGTAGCAGAAATGGAAAAGGAAAAATTTGAGCTTCAAAAGCAACACACTGAAAATATTCAAGAGTTACTTGAAGATACAAATATGCGACTGAGTAAAATGGAGGGTGAATACATGGCACAAACACAGTCCACAGTAAGTCTTTTTAGAAACTGTTCTCTTAATGTCCACGTCTTCATGCTTCACTCATGTGCATTCTATACAAATGTTTTACTGAATTTTTAAAAAAAATTAATTTAATTTAGTTTTCTTTTTTTGGTACTGGGGTCGAACTCAGGGCCTCACATTGGCTAGGCAGACCCTGTGCCACTGAGATACATCCCTGTCCCATGCTGTTGAATTTTAGAAATCTTACTTTCCTACTTCATACAGGTTTACATGTGACATGGACAGTCCCTTGAAATTTACTAAGGAATTTGTTCTGGGTTGTTTGATGTCACTTTTTAAAAAAAAGTCTCAGAAACCTTTATGAATTTTTCTTCTTTTGTTTTCTCATTGACTTTTAGTTTAGAGACACTCTTTCCTTAAAAAAAAAAAAAAAAAAAACTATTTTTAACTGAACACTTGTTTTTTTTTCTGAAAGTATTTACTGCATGAAGGAAGTCAGAAGTCATTCAGAGCAGCATGATCATTGTGACAAATTTCCTTAGTAGCTTACTTTGACTGAGGGACCATATACACGACACTTGGGTGAACCCCTGAAATTCCTTCACTGAGAGGATACAAAAGAAGGTTCCCTTAGCCAGGCTACACAGCATGGTGGCCATGGATATTCTCTAAAATGAGGTGGACGATCCCACAGAGAGCCTCCTCCCTGAGCACGTTGTTGCAGTGTATAGATCAGAGCCCATGGATATCTTCGGCCTTGTAGAAGCTCACCTCTTTCTAAGACCCTTAAGACTGGAGAAGTTCTGCAGATAGACTAACTTGAATGTGGATCAGGGCCTCTCTCAAGGCAAGTGCACATCACCAGTCTTGTTACTCATATATAATAGGACATCTTTTCATCCCAGGCGTGACCCAGTGCTCACTTACCGTTCTCGGCCTCCTAGGCAACCCAATTTGGTCCAAGAATTTTCTTGAGTTTAAGGCTGTGGAATCTGAAAAAGAATTAGTTAGCCAGTCATATTGTAGATATGTCTTAGTGTCAGTTAACTGGAACCCTTAGACTTTAGACTAATACCAAAGTCTGTCTCATAAGATAAAAGAAATGGTTAGAAATTGAACTTTAGGGTCGGACAGTCTTGGGTTCAAGTCTCAATCCTGAGTGGCTTGGGGAGTCACATTAATTCTTTAAATGTTAATTTTTCTCATTTGTAAGCTAAGCTAACAGTAATACAATGTAATATAAACTGTTAGAAATATTAAGTAAATTAATATGTAGACATTGTTACATAATAAACAATATATACAGTACAGTTGTTACTATTATCTTTGAAAATGCAACATGAAAGACTAATAGACATAGTAATGAAAATACTCTGTAAAAAGTTAATTGACATTTTCTTATGAATTATGATATATTTAATATTATATAAATAAAAACTTACTTATATGCAAATATTGCTGAGTTGCTGATAATAGTTTTCTGAAAGCATCGAGTTATTTTGGACTGTGGGCTCATGTCCCTTGGGTTTATCACTTACTATGTGTATTGGGAAAAGCTGGAAGATCAGGTCCTTATATTGATCTGTCTTAGTTATTTTTCTCTCGTTGCTGAGACAGAATACCTGATGCCCAAAATTAAAGGAGAAAAGGTTTATTTAGCTCACAGTTTATAAATGTTTCAGCCCATAATCAGCTGGCTCCAAAGCAGGTGGCATGGCAGAGGGGCAAGAGTTTATGGCGGTGGAAGACAGCAAAAGCAACAAGAGCAAAAAGGGGAGAGCAAGCCTCTTTTCCTCCCTTATGTTTTAAGCAGGCTACTCACCCTGGGGCAGGTGTAGCACTCACACCATCTCTGTACCCTCCTCTTGCACAGGCTCATCATGTTTACAAAGTGAGGACTGTGGCCCCTTGCTGAGTCACTTAGTTAAATCTCTAAACCTCTCAAGTTGATGCAGTATATCAACCAAAACAATAATAAACAGTTGCCCTAGGGCAGGTCCTCTATATCCTAGGATGCAGAACTGCTGAGTCACTTAGCTAAGCTTCTGAACTTCTCAAATTGACACAATGTATTTACCAAAACATGATCAATTAGTGTTTGTACAAGTAGTGAAGAGGGTGGGTCTCTGAGTAGAGACTACAGAAAAGCTCAGGACCCTGTTGAACTCCCTCTGGCAACTTGCCACTTTTCATAGGCAAGCCTCGCTAGTCCTAAGGGAATGTTTCTTTAGAGACAGTTTCTACAGTACAGCAGCTAGTAAGGATTAGAGGGAGAGATGATCTTTTGATGAAGGAAGTTCTTAGTTTAGTCAGACTTACCAATCTTTTATAATTAGTGCTTTTTGCTTCCTGTTAAACAAATCTATTGCAAGTGCAGGAAAGTTCAGTATAAGTTTTAAAGTTTTGCTTTTCTATTGGAGCTTTAATAACTCCACCATTTCCTTTTTGCAAATAGCATAAGATAGGTGTCTCATTTCATTATTTTTCTATATGGATGATCACCTTTTCCAGTTTTATTTCTGAATATTTCTTCCCTTTGTTGATCTGTCACCATCATTGTTTTATTTATCAAACTTCCATATATATTAAGTATTTCATTCTAGTTGGTTGACTAATTTCTCCGGCTCTGCTAGTGTAAAACTGTCGTCATCATTATACCTCATAATTATTCCTGATGTCTGATTGGGAGGTCTTTCTTGTTCATCAGAATACCTTGGTACTCAGATTCCTTTCCTTTGACAAACATTTAGATTCAGTTTGCCATCTTAATAGACAGAACTCTGAGAACATCTTCATATAGAGAATTTTATATGATATTTATTCCTGTGTCATACTTTTGTTTTATAAAGATTTTATAATTTTTCTGTATAAAAGACTGAAGAACAAACATCTTTTAAATTGTAACCCTTTATATATATTATGCAACAAATATTTTATTTAGTAGTACATTGACTAGCACTTATATAAATTGTTAAATAATAATAGCAATACTGATTTTAAAACTAATTTATATTATTGCAAAAAATTATTGAAAATTTGGAAGAGATTTGGCAAAGAAGAAAAAAATTAATATCTACATAATAAAATTACTCTGCTGGTTAAAGTGTATGGGACTGCCCATTCCTCTTTATTTTCTGCTCAGTGTCTGCATTTTAATTAAAAACAAAGGTGAAACTGCCTATTTGATCGGTATATTAGCTTCCTAGGGATGCCATAACAACTGTCTTAGAAGAACTATTTTAGGAGGAGTTTTACAGCAACAAAATTTATTACCTCAGTATTTTTGAAGACTAGAAGTACAAAGTCAAGGTGTCAGCAGGAACCTCTTTTCTCCTCTAGAAGTGCTGGAAGAAGCAGGTCCTTCTTTACCTCTTCCTGACTTCTGTGGTGGTGGACAATCTTTGATGTTCCTTGGCTTCCAGCTGCAGCACTGCTAGTTTCTGCTGCTTATGTCACTTTGGTGTTCCATTGGTGTGTCTCTGGGTGCCACTGTCTGTACACGGCCTTTTTTGAAGGAGAGAAGTCATTGGATTTAGGACCCACCTTAGTCCAGTATGACCTCATGTTAATTTGATTGTATCTGTGAGGACCCTGTTTCCATCTAAAAAGGTCATATTTGCAGGTACTGGCAGTTAGGCTTAAGTGTGTCTTTTCGGGGGACAAAATTCAACCCACAACAATAGGTAAATGTTATTTTGTTTTAATTATGTTACTAGTTTAAGAAGTGGAAATAATAAAGATTAAATCATTGGATTTAGAAAGAAAGGCTTAATATACACATTTTTAGATTCTTGAAAATTACCATGTTTTCTATATTGCTATAGGTGTTTTGCTCAAAGTCAAATTTGAGAGATCTTTAGAAGTTAATCAAAACATTATGCCATATACCATTTTTTGGATTACATTTCAAAAACTTTGAGTTCTGTACAAAATAATAAAGCCATTACATATGAATATGTATAATAATATTTTAATAACTACAAAACAGTAGAATGACTATTAACCTATATTTTATTTAAAAAAGAAATTCAGTGAGTCATGTGCCATTGCTTTACAATTTTGTAAATCTTTAACCTCTTGAGAGAAGGCAGCTGGATTCTCATATCTGGTTTGTCATTTATCCTATGGTGATATCACATGTCACGTAGCCTTTGGAAAGCTCTACTCCTTAGTAATGCGAAAGGGAAATAATATCTTAATAGTACTGTAAAAGTAATTTTGATCTAATGGATCCACTACAAATATTGAAGAACTTTGGGAGTTTGGTGACCAAACTTTGAGAACTGTCCTCTAATCCACTGGCTTTCAAAGTTTTTACCATGACTTTTAGTAAGAAATAAATTTTATAAATCTCACCCAGAACATTCATAAGTGCATGTGTAAACACGTATGTCCTTGCATATTTATAACTCAAGAAATGTTACTTTTACTCTTTTACTATTGGCCATTCACTCTGACATACTCTATCATTTTTCTTTTCTTTTTTTTGGTTTTTCTCCGGTACCGGGAACCGAACTCACGACCTTGTGCTTGCCAGGCAGGCGCTTTGCCGCTGAGCTAAATCCCCAGCCCCATCATTTTTATTTTCTTTAATTTTGTTTCAAAAATTTTCAGCTTATGATTTACAACTTGATTTCACCTTGAGACGTACAGTTTGAAAACAACTTTATCCCCATTACTCATTTTAAAATTCAGTAATTTATTTTTTTCATATTTCAGAGGGTTGTTTTATATATTTAGGATAAAAATCAATTTTCAGATGTTTTATCCTCACATTTTTTAATTGTGGCAAAATATATATAATGTTAAATTTACCATTTTAAACTTTTTATGTGTACGGCTTAGTAGCATTAAATCCATGTACATTGTTATGCAACCATTACAACCAACTGAAAGTCCATACCCATTAGAAATGATTCTTCAGTTTGTTCCTTTCACCTGACCTCCAGCAACCACCCTTCTCCTTTTTATCTCCATGACTTTGACTACTCTAGGTATCGGGTAAGTGAATCATACACTATTTGTCT